TGTACTAAAAAACAAAGAATCGCACAACCTCTCGTACAATTTGGAATTAATAGTCACTCTTAAAGGGCTACTTGGACGAAAATTGCGAARCATTAGAAAAGACTTAGAAATCAAATAGACCTATCCATATGAGTCTAATAATCATGAAGGAACAGATTTTAAGAAGATATTGATACAAATCCTTAATAATTTGGGCAAAAAATGTTGGAGTAGATGACGTCATTTACTCCATCCTTTTGTYCYTCCATMTTTTGAATCAAAATTTCWCTGATGTGGGATAATTCAAAAACAAATATTTTCCCGCAATTGTTTTTAATAGATACAAATGAGTCATACAAGTTTTGAAATAAGACCATTTTCATGCAAGTAGCACTTTAATGTTTTCAAAGCTCTTCGTATTTGCATGATTGTTCTCAAGGTCGTGCGATTYCCCACACTAATTATRTATTATCAGTCCACACATTATTCCTAACTGTCGAAATAGGTACCTATTTMGAATTAATAAGTACTAGATGTACAATTACAGTCATAGAGTTAAAAGTGTGATAATCAAATAGAACAAAAGAAAACATTAAAAGCTGCGTGCTATGCTGTATTAGAGTAATATGGCTAATATCCTATCTCGGTATTTTTTTCACTTTTTTAGAAATAATATGTACTTATTGACTGAGTGGGAGGGCCGTACGGGAAATATTTGGCTCGAGGTTATGCCGTACGGACCGAGCGCCAAATATTTTCCCGTACGGCCCGACCTAACTCGTCAATAAGCATTTTATCATATGACAGCGTTTTTAATGTAAAAAAAGCGCGCGGAACTTCTTGTTGTTTGTTTTGTTTTGTTTTGTTCATTCATGGGATAAAGCGCCCAGGCCATCCCCTCCTCAAGATCACGCGAAGAGTGTTTTTTGTTAATAGACCCATGATATGCTGAGTTGTTATTTTTGTTGCAGTCTTTCTTGTTGCACAGTTGGCTCCATCGCCGAAACTAAAGCCCAGATCTTTCAATCGGCTTAGCGACCACCAAGTTTTCCTTTCTTCCCCATCACTCAACACCTCTCTTAAGCGGCTTGACACATCCTTCGTATTTAAAGTAATGTGTCCAATAGGCTTAGCTTGTCCTGCGAGATGGTCTGCCGCTTCGTTGTATGTGATTCCGGCGTGGCCTGGAATATATGTGATAAATAGAGTGGACTTTAGGTTGTCTAGCAGTGAAACCCATGATTCCTTCACTAATCCTGATTTTAGTCTAACCACTAGACTTTTAGAGTCTGTTAGCNTCTGGTTACTCCGTCTTTAGACAATGATTAGGAAAAACCACAGCATACATTTTCTTTTAGATGGGATGTGGTCTTTTTGGGGATCATGGCAAAGCTGTTCGTGTGGCGATTCCCATCGTAATCGTACCTGCCTGTCTGGAAATGGCTGCTCTGGAAATGACTATGAAAAGAAGCAATGCAGAATGGGAATAGGTATACCGCTGACATTTGATCTTTTATTTTTGTCGAATTAAAGCTTAGTTTACAATAGCAATTTTTTCGCATGAAATGTGCAGCGATTTGATTATTTCAATAAAAGGACTGCGATTTTGCGGCGTTTTGCCCTAAACCCAAATCACGTATGTGAACAGCCAGAAAACATGCCTGAAATAATAGTATCTTTGCGGTTTTGACTTGAAATTTGCCCGTGAGTGTGCAGACTGCTGCTTAGACGTGCGATAAAATCGCCGCAATAATCGCACCATTTCGTGCGACAAAGTTGCAATGWAAACAGGTCATTAATAGTGATTTATCCCATCGCCCGTGCACCTAGAACCATCTTTCCATTTCTTTATAACCATTGGTTTAAATCCATCTCATTTGCTTATTATATTTGTTTATTTATTTCATAATCAGAATACCCCATTGTTAAAACTAAAGAAGGCAAACAATGCACATTTCCATTCAACTACGAAGGACGATGTTTCGACGCCTGCACAAAGTATGACTGGGATTTGCTCTGGTGCTCGTACGATACAGAGTATAGTGGAAAWTGGGGAYATTGTGTTTAGATGGCTTAGCTGCAGGCTTTGATACTTCACTAATTCCTAAACAACACACGATGCACCAGCAAATAATTGTTTTTGCGGTTTAACAGCACAGCTYAATACACTTGCGTTTATCGAGAAAAAATCGAATGCTAATAAAAGTAACTAAAAGAATTATSAATCTCGTTTTTGGGTCTCAGCGCGGATTCGCATCCCCAAAACCACCCACCACTAGGTAGATCCGTCACTGGAGAAGCCTCATTAGTCTCATGAAGATTACCTGGTTGTCTATCAATCTATACTGCAAACGGGAAGGAAGGAGAGCAAATACTCATTTAACTATTCTTCAAATGTATTACTGTTCTCGCAACCCATGGAAATATCGCAACGAAAATAATCAATTTTTTTTAACTCTCTCAAGACATCCTCTTAAAATCTACACCTTATTTATTAAGACAACAAGGGTACAAAACAATACCATTGCGAATTGGTTGGGCTTCCTGTGGCATTTACTTTGCTTTTCTTATACAAGTGGTTGGGCTTCCTGTGGCAAAATTTTTGCAAGTTTTTTTTTTTTTTGCTTTGCCTCGCATTGCTTTACAAAATTCCTTCAAATATGCTAAATGTGGCTATTATCTCGATGTGGCTTTTACTCTTCTGACCTGAAAAAGTATTCTTTACGAAGCTGATTTCGACAAAACGAGAAACGTCAAGTTTTGAATTCTAGTCTCGATTTGTGATTGGCGGTGAACGAAGATCGCGCGACATTTTCCACAACGGACTGAAATGTTATAGCAAACCAAAAATGAAGTTCTGTGCTGTCATTTTGTTGTCTGTTATAATACAATTGTCTCTGAAACCTTATCGGGTTCAGTCGTGGTTCAGTAGAAGAAGACGATCTCCTCCACCTCCTAGACCTTGTAAATATACTTGTAAGTAAACTTAAGCTTAAGTCTAAGATGACCTAAAATGATTAAGTTAACTTAAGTCTTAGTTACAATTCTCCATCTTAGGGGAAGAAACTAAGCTTAAGTTATGAATTTTTGAAGGTCGTATAAGAGTGGCTTGATTTTAAAAGTATTCAACTTAGATGTAGTTC